TCACTGGAAGGACAGATCCTGAAGCTGAGGCTCCAGTACTTTGGCACATAAACCCCAGTGAGTTTCCATGGCCAAGCAGAGATTCAAACTCTCCTGAATCCTGCTCTGTTATTCTATCCACTATGCCACATTGGGTATAATTATAAATACTGAAGCTAAAACTGGCCTGATAACCTCTCACTCTTGCAATTAAATAACAGTCACAGTCAAAACATATGCTCACCTATCTGCAGTGCATCTCCCAGACATAATCCCCACTTTAATAAATATTGTATTTTCTTGTGGTTGTTTAACCCAGTCAGCTGAATTCAGCAGAGCTGAAGTATGTATCCATTTACAATAGTTTATAAATAGTCTGACTTTAACCATTTAGAACTGGTGTAGGGCAGTAATACAACACACAATGCAAAGAAACAAAAATATAATCTATACAGACATCCCAAATTGTCAGATTGTATCCTTGTGATTTGTGAAGTTGATGGGAAGTTGGGCTACATAAGGAAGGCTTGTATTATCGGGCAGGTTTTCAGCGTGTGCCTAAATCAACCCCGAGTGTTCACTGGAAGGACAGATCCTGAAGCTGAGGCTCCAGTACTTTGGCCATCTCATGAGAAGAGAAGACTCCCTGGAAAAGACCCTGATGTTTGGAAAGGGCTGAAGGCAAGAGGAGAAAGGGATGACAGAGGAGGAGATGGACGGACAGTGTCATCGAAGCTACCAACATGAATTTGACCCAACTCCGGGAGGAAGTGGAAGACAAGAGGGCCTGGCGTGCTCTGGTCCATGGGGTCACGAAGAGTCGGACACAACTGAACGACTAAACGAACGAACTAGTTAAGTTTACTGAGGAATCCTTAAATGGGAAATGGTGCCAGAAATGTAAGGTGTCATAAATCTTCAGAAGGCTCTCCTGCAAATAGTCCATTAAAAGGTCAAAAGGAGACACAAGCCCGCACCAGGAGATACGAGGGAGACAGGACATGGGAGCCCCACAATAAAAGCAGACAAGCCAATCTCTGCTCTTATCTCTAACCGGAAATAGCAGAAATTCCTCTCCCTCTGGAAAGACTATGGA